ATGTGGATTTTCAGGGTGAAGCGGCCGCCGGGTTCTCCGCCTGTCTTCAAGGCGCGTTACGTGGCTCGAGGCTTCAGTCAGCGAGAGGGAGTTGACTTCTTCCAGACCTTCTCCCCCACCCCGAAGATGACCACTCTTCGGGTGCTGCTGCACGTTGCTGCTCACCGTGACTACGAGCTTCACTCTCTTGACTTCAGCACTGCTTTCTTACAGGGCAGCCTGCACGAGGAGATCTGGCTGCGCCGCCCCCCGGGCTTCACTGGGTCGTTCCCTCCTGGCACCCAGTGGAGCCTCCGGCGGCCGGTCTACGGTCTCCGCCAGGCGCCACGTGAGTGGCACGACACACTGAGGACTACGCTTGCGGCTCTTGGGTTTGCGCCTTCTACTGCTGACCCGTCGCTGTTTCTGCGCACTGACACTTCACTGCCGCCGTTCTACATCATCGTGTACGTCGACGACTTGGTTTTTGCCACTGCTGACACTGAGGCTCTCGCCCACGTGAAGTCGGAGCTGCAGAAGAGACACACGTGCACTGACTTGGGTGAGCTGCGCAGCTACCTTGGCTTGCAGATCACCCGGGACAGAGCACGCCGCACCATCACCTTGACTCAGTCACACATGGTGCAGCAGGTCCTTCAGCGCTTCGGCTTCACCTGGTCTTCAGCACAGGCCACTCCTCTGGCTACAGGTCACACGCTCTCAGCTCCACCTTCGGACGAGTCCGTAGAGCCGAGTGGTCCTTACCCAGAGCTAGTCGGCTGCCTCATGTACCTGATGACTTGCACTCGACCTGACCTCGCGTACCCTCTTGGTCTCCTCGCTCGCTACGTGGCTCCTGGTCGACACCGACCTGAGCACATGGCTGCTGCTAAGAGGGTACTGCGCTACTTGTGCAGCACATCAGGCATGGGGCTAGTGCTTGGAGGGACGAGCCCAGTTGTACTCACTGGGCACTCAGACGCTTCTTGGGTTGACGACCTGGCTACTCAGCGGTCGTCACAGGGTTACACCTTCAGCCTTGGCTCTGGTTCAGTTTCGTGGCGTTCTACACGCTCGTCTTCAGTTCTCGGCTCCAGTTGTGAGGCTGAGATCTACGCCACCGCCATGGCTGCACAGGAGTTACGCTGGCTCACCTACCTGCTGACTGACTTGGGAGAGCAGCCTCGTTCTCCTCCAGTGCTGTACGTTGACAACAAGGCCGCCATTGCCTTGTGTGAGGAGCACAGACTGGAGCATAGAACGAAGCACATTGCTCTGCGTTACTTCCTGGCTCGAGAGTTGCAGCAGCGAGGCCAGCTTTGTCTTCGTTACGTGGCCACTCGGGCCAACACTGCTGATATATTCACCAAGGCACTTCCGTCTGGTGATCATCAGCGCTTTTGTACTCTGTTAGGCCTTGTGCCTACGTTTCCACACTTGCTGTAGTCTTTGCTTGTACTGTGATCTATATACATATATACCTGTATGCTGGCTCTTGCTAGGTAGCCATCACTGTACTGTCATTGCTGCATATATACCTCTGCATATGAACTGGCCTTGTGGCCATTTGCTTGTGCTCAGAATGTGTGGTGACGTTGTGATCCACCCTGAGCTTGTTTTGCCTCTCTTGACTGGTCTTGTGACCCCTTGTTCTCCTCCACTTTGCCTATGGGGGTGTGTCAAATGATATATATGTGTGATATATATTGGTAGGCTGTAGTGGGGTAGATGTTATAGGGGATAACACTTTAGGGTTGTGTTATTTTGTACCAAACTCTCGATAGTCAATCCAACCTTGCCTGATTCTCTCGACACAAGCATCAGTGGGGTGCATAGCGGTGCAACAATGCATGCTATGGCATGTCGATCACCCTACTACTTTCCTCTCTAAATCATGCTCTTGGGCCCTTCTTACCCATCCATGAACCTTCAATCCCATGAAACGCTTATCATACCTCCCTCCACCCCTCCGTTCATTTTGCAGGGTCCCAAGGCTGTCATTGTAGAGCACCTCATTGGCATCGCCGAAGTGCCGGCACCATGCTTATAAGGTCGTTTACAGCAACAATGATCGCAGACAAGATTGGACTTGCTGTTTTCATTTTATGTGCTATTCAGGAAGCCCTAATTGGCAACTAACTTGCACATGGCACTACACATTATAGATGTTCGTATTGTGGAGCTACCCTCACTACCAAACACCCCACTAGCACCATTGAGATCAAAGTCAATGCGATTGGGCAAACGGCGGATTGCGTTGAACCACGCCACATCATCCGCACCACATCCAACATACAACCCGCCCCTAGGCTCGGGGTATATTGTTGCAATAACCACATAAATCAACCACGCCGAGCCCCACTTGCCCAACACCTCATACTGTTTTGGAAATCGTCTTGCAAATTCAGCGATCATCCAGCAGTAGAATGGCATCCTGATCACCGGTGGTAGGCCAGATCGAACTCGGGCCCGCCTAGTGATACTAGGTGTAGCGACGTTGGAGATACTGCTAGTCTGAGACTCCACTTGTGAAGTCACTAGACGCGGATCGGCACGGCTCTGCGGCACCGTTTCTTCCTCGTCAACCTCACATACAAGCCTAATGGGGTCCGGCCGACGACGCATGAGCGCACGAGAGCGTGGCCTGCCACGCAACGGGAAGCAAGGGACATGTTTTGGCTGCAATATTACTCACAAGCTTCCCCCATCCAGCTAGTTGCATAGATAATCCCTAGAAGTGCATGCAAAGCGTGATTTCAAACATGATATATACCTTATTGGTCCGCCAGATCGGGTCTTCCTCGACGCGGTGCTTCGATTTTCGTGACCGTTTGTCATATTCCTCCTGGTGTTTCATTTCGGGAGAGAACGGAGGCGGTGAAGGGATAATTGGATGAGCTCGAAAAGAAGGAAGGGTGAATGGGCATGGATGGCCAAAAGGACAGCAATCTGCAGGGAAGTGAGGAGATGGAGGGCAGGTAAGTGTGAAGGGGCATGGATGAGTGAATTGACGCAGGTGGAAGGGAGGGAGGGCAGTCCCCCCGACAGGAGTAAGGGAGGGGGAAATGAGAGAAGGGAGGCGGAATTGAGTGAACGGAGGCGAAAATGAGTGAAGGGAGGCGGGCATGAGTGATGGGTGGCGGAAATGAGATAAGGGAGGCGGATAAGCGTGCGGGGATGCGCAAACGAGTAAGGGAGGGGGACATGAGCGAAGGGAGGCGGAATCGAGTGATTGGTGGCGGAAATGTGTGATGGGAGGTGGAAATGAGTGATGGGTGGCAGTGACGAGTGAAGGAAGGCGGAAACGAGTGAAGGGGGGCGAAAATGAGTGATAGGAGGCGGATACGAATGTTGGGAGGCGGAAACGAGTGAAGGGAGGCGGAAACGAGTGAAGGGAGGCGGAAACAAGTGGAGGGAGGCGAAAACGAGCGTAGGGAGGCGCTATTGAGTACTGGGATGTGCACCCGAGCGAATGGAGGCGGATATGAAGGGAGGGCGGCATACATGAGTGAAGGCAGGCGGAATTGACTGTTGGGAGGCTCGAATGAACGAGGGGAGGCGAAAACGAGTGAGCGGAGCCAGAAACTCGTGACGGGACTTGGAAATGAGTGTTGGGAGGCGGAAGCGAGTGGTGGGAGGCGGAAATGGGCATAAAACACGGCTGTCTTGTCGCGTGCTATGTGGGCGGAATACGGACGTCGTGAAATTTGGAAACCGTGTCGCATGGGATATGCTGGGCGTGTGGCGAAGCTGAGTGTGTGTTATAAGGTGTAGGAACAAGCCACCGCGATGCGGCTTAGAGTGAGATAGGAGAGTGAGTTGTTCTTCATCTACGAAAAATAGCTGTGTACAATTCTGTGTCGGCCTGCCTACTATTCTTGACGAGTGTAACCCTAAACCTGCCTGCGAGGGGAAGCGAATGAGTTCACTTTTGTTTAAAGGTTTTTTATTGTCCGTAGGAGCGGGGTGCAAGCCACATCTACTTGCGGAAGTTCTCCCCCAAACTGGGGAGGTCCGTGTGCCCCCCAACTCCTGCAGTACAATACATGGTTACCAGGGGTTCAAAAAAAAAACTTCTGAACCAACCATGCCAAAAGTGCACCGTCGCTTTAACTGATGTCCATCCACTGCAGGATTTCTCGGTCATTCGTCACCACTCGTTGCCAGACCAGCTCAGTCTGCTCGTGCGGCTCCGTAGATTGCTTGCCTGACCGAACTTCCACTGAGCAGATGAACCTATCTTCCGGATATTGTAAACCTCCATTTCGCAGCATTTGCGTCTCCACATTGCTTCTCCGCTGACATGCCCTTTTCGTGTTTGGCATTTTTGGGAAACGGATACGGAAAGGAGTTTCATGGCTGGGCGGGTGTTTCAGGTATTGCGCTTGTTGACAGCTAGGCGGCAGGAGGATGTGTGAACTCTGTCGATTTGAAAACAATCGTGTTTGCAGTGGGGATTGTGTGTACCAGTTAGTACCACTTGTGGGATCCTCTGAACCATTGTCAACCTTTTTGAACCATTCACTTTGGTGGGTTCGAGTGTGATTGTACGCACAGAACAGCATCGCCATTTTGATGCATGAGGCCCTCGGGGACAGCAAATTCGCATGGGCGATGCGTCATCGCAAAAGTGCGCACCAGTGTCGCCAACTCACGCCTCGCTCAATCTGGCACATCGGCTGTGACTGTAGGCGTGGCGTTCACCAATCAAAATTGCAGGCTCGCCTTACCTGACTTTGGGTGGATGCCCTTCACCATACCGAACCGCCCTGAAATGCACAGCACACCACATCCATGTCTTGCCAAAGCCAAGAAACAATCGCCGTCATCTAGGTTTCGTAGTTATTCCATCTAGTGTTCAGGCTGCCGCGATTTACGCAATTTCAGATTCGTCTACCTCTGCTCTCCACCAGTCCAAGTAGTTAAGGTTAGCAGGAAGAAAAGTGAATGGTACGGAGTTCATGGAGTCTGCTGTTCAGCACGAGGAGCAAGACTCGCCGTGTTCTGTAGACAGAGAAGCCATGTCCATGCCTCGTCGATCTGACTTCACTTACACTTCTTGTTACTGGTGCGAGAAGCGGAAGCTGCGTTTCTAGCTTACTTTCTCTCGAGGGTATCCACATGGATTGCTCTTATGTGCCAACTATCCCACGATTATCTGCCCTGTCATTCGTTGCAGTGAGGAAAACGTGTATTTTCTCTGTCGTTCGCTGGTTTCACAAGGCGTCGCACACGTGGATGATTTGGCCGTCGTCTTCATCTCCAATCCTGACCGCAAGGTGCCCCGTCCACCTGAGATCATAGATATTCATCCATTTCATCCACTTCATAGCTCTGTCATATGTTTCTTCAAGGGACACTCTGTTCGCTTTGCGTTGGTAGGCCACTACCGAGTGAACTCTTCACCCACTCTCCTCGTCGCACCTATCCACCTGCCTGCAGGTTCCCATGTGGTGTCAGAAGGCCAGCATGTGTCGCTCCGATGATAACAGTGGGAATGAGGGGGGCAATGGTGGGGAGGAGCAGGGTTTGGTGGTTTGGGACTACCATGTCATTGCCATCCATGTGAAGCACATCAATGGAGCGGGAGTTAGTGACGGAGCAGGATCTGAAAGGAGTAGGTGTCGCAAGTGGTATGTGTGGGACCTTGACACGGTATTGGCGTTTCCAAGTCTAGCAACCGAGTACGTGCGGCGAGCGCTGTGGGCCGGGAGAACTTCCCTCCTTCCTCTACAAGATTCTTATCAAAGGTTGGCTGTAAGCTTGACTTGTGCCATCCTTATTCCAACTACTCTTTCCTTACCCTTGTTGCCTCAATGCAGAGCCATGGGTATCTAATCTTGTATTTATTTCTATCTGGAATTTTGCAGGCTTTACAGGGTGGTTTCTGCTTCCAACTATTTCAGATTCTTTGCGTCTGATCGGTCTCACATGCGTGACACTATCACAAACAGTTGGCTAGCCAGCCCTCCAACGTATCCATGCATTATCTCTCAAGGTCAGCATACAACATTCAGTCACACAGAGTATTTCCCCATTCAAGCAAAATGTCATCTTAAGGTTGGACTGTATTTTCTTTGCAGATGGTGAGACAAACAGGCTGGAGTCATACATCCAGATGTCCCCTGTTGACACTGTGGACATTAAGGTGGTATGTAAGGACTATTCTGAATGTAACCCAGAAAATGTTAACTGGGTTGCTTGGAAAACGTTGCTCTGTGCACACAACTTCGGTGTTGTTCTGGATGAAGTGTCTTTTTGCCTGCTCCTTGGAGCAAGTGTTTGAAACTTCATTTTTCAAACACAACCTCAAGAAAGCAATACACCAATCTAACAGTACAACTAAAGGCTAACGTTCTACGCATTGGAAACATAAGAAACAAGGTGCAAACGTTATCATGCTGCTGGCATGTACATCAACTGCCCAAGTTATTGCACATTCCACAGAGCACGTCAGCATCAAAACTAAGACGCAGGTGCGGCCTTGGCTTTCGCTGCCTTCTTCTGGGCCTCAATCGCCTGCAGAGAACATGGCAACAAAACGTCAAGAACTCCATACACGCAGCCACAAATCAGCAATCAAATCGTCAAGCTGCAGTGGGCTTACCTGAGAGTACAAGAAAGTTCCAAGAATGGCAATAGCGGCTCCAACGCCATTGATCAATCGAACTGGAGTTCTGAAGATGATGATGGACGCTACAATGACGGACACACGCTTCATCGTGTTTCCAATGCTGAATGTCAAAGGAGAAATCTGATCCAGCGACATGTAGGAGACTTGATTGTACAAGTGGTAGAAAACGCTCTGAGCCGCAATCCACCTGTGATCCAAAGTGCGTGTGATTCAGTTCATTTGCTTAAACCTCTCGTTCGGTTCGAAAGAATATAACAGAGCCCAGCACTCACCAGCCAATTCTTGGCCCAACCTCCGCGAGAGAAGTTTGCCAACCGGCAGTCCACATCGGGAAGCCCTCTTGCCAAATGGCGAAGGGAATGAGGATGATGAGGGACATGATCGACAGGCAGGCGTAGTAGTTGAGGCCACCGACCTTCTTGCCAGAGCTCATTCCCTTCTTCGAGAAAATGTTCCGGAAAACAAATGCCAGATTTGAGATCATGGCACCCATGAAGCCTGCTCACACAACACAGGGATCTTTCAGACTTCGCGACGCAGCAGATTGCTTATGGTAATAGAGATATCAAACCTACCTCCCATGTTAAAGTTCAGCTCAGTAAGTGCTGCGAGACCACAACCGAAAATGATCGGGAGCAACGACAAGTAGACGGGAAGTGCGAAGTGCTCGCCCATCAGGCTCTGGACGACGACGCTGAAGGCAGGCTCGGAGCTCTTAATGATATGAGTGAAGGAAACAGCGACCTTGGACATGCTCACGGTTGCAGCTACGTGACCAATGGTGTGGGCGACGGCAACCTGATGAGAAATGAATCAGAGAACAACGAGGATGAGCATGTCCTTCAAGCGATGGCAAGATACAGCACACAGCACAACTGAACAAAAGGAGCTGACGAGAAAGGCTAATGATAGGATGATATACTTACAGGGAACAACGTCTTCCAGAAGTCCAGATCTGTGTCGGGAAACTCCACCAGACGCGTAGCCCAGGACAGCAACATGATCGTGACTCCAGCAGCAAGGGCAAGCGTAGAGCATAGCCATGGAAAGGGGAAGGCGTTGAGCACTTTCTTGTTGTAGATGTTAAAAACAACGTTCAGCGTCCACCACAGTGCAAAATATCCACCAATCTTAACCTTAAACGCCAAGTCATCAGCCTCAGTGGTCGTCACTGCCTTGGGCTCCGGAGAGGAACCAGCGCCAGCACCCGCCTGGGCTTGCGCGACAATTTTCAATCGAGAGGCAGATTCGGCCTTGACGACCTCGGGCCTTGAGAAAGCTGTGAAGGACACACCAAAAGATTTAGACGATGGAAGAACCCCGACACGCTTGACCGACAGGGAGCTAGCCAGATTCACTCGTCGAGTCACAGAATGGGACTGAGCGCGAACACCGAGTGGAACGGCGCCACACTCGGCCATCTGCGCAACAATCATAGCTTGTGCCATGGTGGAGATTGGGATGGAGAGAAGAGAGATTAGGAAAATGAAGCTTGAAGTTGAGCAAAACAAATATGTCTACTCCCTCGACTGGATCAGGCTGACGCATTGCCGCGCCAAAAGGGCACATGTGTGAGCCGGAGTCGCCACGTAGCCGGAACTCATGGGAATGGAAAGGAGCGTGACGATCTGACCTGGCCAGGTTCTCACGGTCCGATCAGCCACATTGAAAGATCTTCATCCAGTCACTTGCACATCGACCAGTACCGTGCGAACAAACGCCTCATTGTCAGCAGCAGTTCGTGCGGGCACTCTAAAAAGATCCACCAGAGATCCGTCAACCAGTTGCGTTGGGCGGATCCGCCCAACGGCGGGAGTGGTTTCTCCTGCCCACGAGAGTGCTCACTCGGTATGAGGGGCAGCTTCGTATGCAGCATATTCTGAAGAACAGATCAGCACGCATGGTTTTCCTCGAATTTACATTATAAGCAGCATCTGAGAGAGTATTGTTACATAAATAGGATCACTCCATATATTGTGCCTCCTTTCAGCAAATTACAACACTTTTTTCTTGGCGAATTAACGCCATGCCTGCCACCCATGCCATGATCTCCAAGACATGGCCCAGCAACGCTAGGAATTTTGGGATTTCACACTCCCATTCATCGTCTCAGGCAAGTCTTCCTTCTTATGGTCATCAAAAACAATGGTCACCTGTGAGAGCACAAACCACACGTGTGTAAGCATTGAACAACCCAGAAATTGTGAATGCCCACCCCCCCCCCCTCTCCCCCTCCCCTCTTCCCCCCTCCCCTCCCCCCTCCGCACACACACAAACACACACACCAGAAGCACACACCAATGCACGAGTTGTTCAGCCATGAGCAAAAAATGCACCATGCGTGCACATTGAGGAAGCATAAAACAGGTGCAACAGGTGTTCCTGTAGACGCCACCCACACATCATTATGGGCCCAAATTCCCCACCCATACACCCACTTGCTTCACAAACGAACCCCAACCCACCTGCGAGCCATCTCTAGCAATGGTTGTTCTGCTGTCAGCATCGTGATGGTGGCGCTCTGCCAACAAAGCATACACTCCTTTCTGCTTCGCCTTCGCCTCCACGTATTTCTCGTATGCATACCACCCCACTCCTCCTGAGTTTACTATCAGGCCTATAAGATTGGTTGGGCTAACCTGCACGCAAGTAACATCACATTGAAGGCAGATGAATAACTGTAATCGGCAGACAAAGCAGCAGCTACTCAGGTGAGATAGAGACGGAGGGTAGCGGGGAGAGTGAGAGCAACTGACCAGCACATCCCCGAATGCAAAGAGGCCTCCGAAGCCCTGCAAAATCGACTTAGTGCGACCTGTGGGAAGGGGGGGAGCACAAGAGACGGACGAATGGAACCAGGAGAGCAAGCGAGTGAGAAGAACGCTGCACAGCAGACAGGCATCAGATGGCGGAGAGGGGTGGTAAAGGACAGGCAAGAGACGGGATGAGTGAGAGGGTAATGGGAAGAAGACCCACCAACGATGCTGGTAGTGAGGCTGTCGTTAACTAGTGTACAGAGGTAGGTGGCGAGGTTGAGTATGAAGGCAGAGGCGCAGGACAGCGCGAAGCACACAAGGAACACGGCGTCGCGCGATTGCAGCACTCGCTGCACGGCAGGCAGCTCGCCGTTGGCAGCGACGAGCAGGAAGGCGAAGGGCAGCGACCAGCAGTTGTTGTAGAGCAGCAGCGTGAACGAGTCCAGCTGCAGCTCCTCGCCCAGCTTCCCCACGATCACCACGTATGCCGCTGTCGCCAGCGCGGACGACAGCGCCAGCACGTACCCCGCGGGGTCGAACGTGAGGTCGCCCGCACCCGCCACCACGCCCCCCAGCGCGGTGGTGTAGACAGCCAGCTGGATGCGCGGCGAGGCATGCTTGGCGCGCAGGAGGTAGTCGAGGAGCAGCACGAAGGGCGTGGTGGCGGACTTGAGCACGCCGTACATGGGGATGTTCACTCGGGAGAGGGCTGCCATGTCCAGGAGGAGCTTCAGTAGGAAGGCAAAGGACAGCAGCGATACCTGCGGGCATGGAGGGAGGACGTCGAGAGAGACAGACAGAGGAACGCGGTGTGGGGATGATGCAACTAGGGTCGAAGAGGAAAGGGAGGGAAGGTGAGGAGACAATGGAAGGGCAGGCATGCCCACGCACTCACTTGTCGCCCCTACCAGGCGCCCTCATTTTCCCACGCCCTCACTCGGCTCCCCACAGACTCACTCGGTTCCCCACAGACTCACTCAGTTCCCCACAGACTCACTCGGTTCCCCACAGACTCACTCGGTTCCCCACAGACTCACTCGGTTCCCCACAGACTCACTCGGTTCCCCACAGACTCACTCGGTTCCCCACAGACTCACTCGGTTCCCCACACACTCACTCGGTTCCCCACAGACTCACTCGGTTCCCCACACACTCACTCGGCGCCCCACAGACTCACGCGGCGGAGCACGTGCAGGTGGAAGGGCGTGACGCGGATGAGGCGCAGCTGGCGCATGGCGGCGAGCAGCGCGAGCGTGAAGAGCGTCTGGAAGAAGACGAGCGTGTAGGGGAACTTGAAGCGGTACACGTGGAACAGTGCCTTGTTTATGAACACCGACGCCACCGACATCACCCCTGCCGCGCGCCACGGGGGGGGGGAGGGGCGAGGGGAAGGAGGGGAGGGGAAGGAAGGGGAGGAGGAGAGTTATGGGAGAAGACATGCGTGGGAGACAATGATGATTGCGAGCATAACTGGGTCTCGTGCTCGAGACACGCAATTGCGTACAAGAAATCCAAATATGTGAATCACGATTGGAGATGAGGGCAGGTAGTGCAGCAACGGATGACCTTGACTAACCCTGAAGTGGGTTGAACGCCCCAAATTGCTTAATTGGGCGGCGTGACATACTCCTGGAGTGACTTCGAGGTAACCCTGATGTTTACCATAGAAAAGTGCGGCGAGAATGCCGGTGTAATTCATGGCGGCCTTTGATGGTCCCTTCTGGACGATGCCTCGTTACAAGTGTCTTCGATACGGTGTGCACGCCAGCGCGACCACACCAGCGCACACATGCAAGCAGCTCGTCGCGGCCTACTCCTGTCCTTGCCTGTCTCTTGTTCCTGCCCACCCGCACCGCGCCTCCACTACTCGTGCTCAATCGAAATGCACTTGAGAAGTCGTAACCGTGCGACAAACCCAAAGCATGGTGGTTAATTCGTGATCGCGAGCCAAGCGACGAGCCTAATCTACGCCAACGATCCTACTTCAGCAGCATGCAATGTCCGAATTTGACCACACAGTGTGGGAGCTAACACGATCTTCATAAATTATTCTTTTTTGAATGGTCGCTAGAGTAGACAGTCGAAAGAGGTCGCAGCGCCGACCAGACGTTGGTTGAATTGAAATATGCGGGAGGAATTCTCAGGAGCACGGCCACCAACCTTGGGATCATCGTCGTGGCCTTGACATGGACGGTTCGGAGTCGGAGGTTCGAGGTTCGAGAAGGTGTGGCTGACGCATGATGATTGCAGATTCTCTCGCAAGAGCCCATGCAACCGAGTTCACCAAACTAGTGAGGCGGATTAGTGGTAGCTCATGTACCCTTCTTAGCTAGACTCGCTTACACTCCCCTCCCCACCACCACATCCTGTCAGTCACAATTATGGATTGATTTCCATAAATCAATCCTATAAAGTAATTTACTTGTGTAAATGACTAAGCAGATTTCTCCATCATTCAACATGTACAATCCAAGTGATTTCCTCAAAATTGTATGCTAAATTGTTTGAAATTCTTCTCAAATCAGTGTATAAGCAGGAAATTCCAAAAACCTTTAAGTCTCCATAAAAAAATTTGATATGTACTTTTAATTGCTTGGAACTCCTCCAGAACCGTAACTTGCTCTAGTGAAGCAAAATCCTATGAGTTGGTTTGAAGTTACCTCAATGAATTTGGGGTGAATCTCGCTAGACTCCCAGTCTAGGCAGTGATTTACAAGAAACAGCTGAATAAGGACTGTATGAACAGTATAGTAGGTCATATTGAACATATCAGATCAAGGAGAATGAAAGGCACCAAATGTCGTCAGAATAAGAAGAAGCCCTGTTACAATTTTAGCGGAAACTCCATAACGCAGAAACTGCTGTCGCCTGGGTCACAGTCAACTTAGTGGTCGTAGTCCCACCATTAGTCCGTTTCGAGAAGAATCACCGTGCTTACCAGAAAAGCCATTGCATTGCCGATTCCTGCAAAGCCAGCATCGATGCCGTTCGGGCAGATCGTGATCGGCCCGCCAGGGTCGGGGAAGACCACGTACTGCAATGGCATGCAGCAGTTCATGCAGCTTCTAGGAAGGTTCGCTCCGGCTCATTCCGTGTCTTCCGTCGCCAGGCTGCTACCCGCTGTTTGCCACGTCTCACACCCCTCTCCTTATCACGTCAGCACAGCTTGCTCAACTTGAAACGTCTCGTACCATCGCACGAAATTAGCTGCTCCTTCCAGCTGTCTTGAATCTCATGCCCTCATAACGTTAGATTCCCATAACCCCGTTTCAAATCGTTCCAGGAAGGTGGCGGTGGTCAACATGGATCCAGCCAATGATCGCCTCCCGTGAGTCACAGTCCATGCTGTCCCATGCTGCCCCATCCCGTGTCATGCCATGCTGCCATGCCATGCCATGCCATGCCGTTTCAGCTCGTCACCCAGGAAGAGGTGATGTGGGGTAGCAGTGGTCAACATGGATCCAGCCAATGATCGCCTCCCGTGAGTCACAGCCCATCATATGTACCCCATGCCATCCCATGCCATGTCATGCTGTTCCATGGCATGCCATCCCTTGCCGAACCATGCCATGCCATCCCATACTACCCCCCTCAGCTACCCCACCTCTCCCCTCACCCTCTCCCTGACCGTGCAGGTACGAGTGTGCGGTGAACATGGAGGAAATCGTTCGCCTGGAGGACGTGATGGGGCAGCACGGGCTGTTTGTGAGGCTCCTCCGCCTCCTTTCCTCCCACTTCCCCTCTCTTTACCCCTTTCCTCCCCCGCCTCTGCCCCTCTTTCCGCGCAGTTACGAGTGTGCAGTGAACGTGGAGGAGCTCGTTCGGCTGGAGGACGTCATGGGGCAGCACGGACTGGGACCCAACGGAGGTGAGCAGGGAGGAGGAGACGAGGAGAGGGCTGGTGTTTTGAGACATCTCAGCTCAAAACACTTCTTCAAACACGTGCAGGTACGAGTGTGCGGTGAACGTGGAGGAGCTGGTTCGCCTGGAGGACGTGATGGGGCAGCACGGGCTGGGGCCCAATGGTGGTGAGCTGAGACGAGGAGACGAGGAGAGGAGAGGGCTGGCGGTGGGTGCATTCTTTTCTTGCATTTTACATCTGTGTGCTTACTCGAGGATGTGATGGGGCAGCACGGGCTGGGACCCAACGGAGGCGAGCTGATGAGATGAGGAGAGGAGAGGAGAGGGGTGGCAGAGAAGTGGGGCGGGTGGGTGGGAGGAGGTGATGTGATGGGGCAGCACGGACTGGGGCCCAACGGAGGTGAGCTGAGAGGAGGCGAGGGGAGGGCTGTTAAGGAGTACGATGCTGCGAGTATTTGTGCAAATATACTGTTCGAGCATATATTATAGTGTATGTTTTTTAATAAATATATGTACATTGGTCTTCCTTCCTGCAGGTCTCGTGTACTGTATGGACTACATAGACAAGAACTTCGACTGGCTGCAGAACAAGCTAAAGCCGCTTGAAAAGGGTCAGTTCTCCTTTGGTGCCTCCTCTGCTGCCTCCTCTGCTGCCTCCTCTGCTGCCTCCTCTGCTGCCTCCTCTGCTGCCTTGGTGGTTCAACTGCCCTGCCCGGTTCGACCCGAATGGCTGTGCTTGCTTGTTCGCTTGCTGTTTGTTTGCTTCAACTCCAGCATTTGCTGGTGCTTCTGCTTTCACCCTGCCTTAGGATAGTTCTATCACTCAATTTCTACTCAGAACCGTCTATTCATCCCGTTTCACCTACCCTCTGCCCCCTCCCATCCCCGTTACAAGCAGACCACTATTTCCTCTTCGACTTCCCCGGCCAAGTGGAGCTTTTCACTTTACACACCAGCGCTAAAAACATCATCAAGCGCCTTACAGACAAGATGCACTACAGAGTGAGTCCAATGGATGGGATTGGGGGACAGCCGACCAGCTAGCCTGTGAGCCGGTCGGCTAGCCATCCAGCCAGATAGCCAGTCATTCACACACAGGGCTCTTTAGGGGCCTATGAAGTTAGCTGTTCACCCTGCACGCCAGCATTAAGAGCATCATCAAGCGCCTCACAGACAAGATGCACTACAGAGTGAGCATGGTAGACGGGATATCACAAGGTCTATCCATGCACACCACACCCATGGCTCTTAAGGCGCCTGGGAAATCAGCTATTCACTCTCCACAGCAGCGCGCTGAGCATCATCAAGCGTCTCACCGACAAGATGCACTACGGAGTGAGCATGGTGGATGGGATGGGGTATCAAATCAGTCTGTACCCACAAAGTTTTTCGAGGCGGTGATTCAAGGCGGCTATGAGCTCTCCACTCTGCATGCCAGTGCTCAGAGCATCACCAAGCGGACTCAGAAGTTCTTGTTAGATAATCCGCAAGCACATCTCTTAAACACTTACCTCCATTCGTCTGCTCTTCTTCCACCCTTGCATTGCCCCTTGCTACTGGCTCCAGCTAGCAGCCGTGCACCTGGTGGATGCGCATCTGTGCAGCGAGCCGCACAAGTACGTGTCGGCCCTGCTGCTGTCGCTGCAGGTAAAATGTGAGGCAAAGGTTCCCGCAGGTAAAGGGTCTCAGGGTTTTCAGCGCTGCTGCTGTCACCGCAGGCACTTCCCTGAAGCTCCGTTGATCCTTGTTTTTTCTCTGCTTCTCATTGTCAGCTTCAGTTCCCAATCTCCAATCACTTCAATCCTGGGTTTCGTTTACTTCTGTTGCTGTCTGTGTGGCTGTGTGCCTGGCCAGGCGATGCTACACTTCGAGCTGCCACACGTCAACGTGCTCTCAAAGATCGACCTCGTTGAGGCATACGGGCCTCTGGGTGAGTTGACATTTTTCCGCTCCCACTGTTCCCTCTCTCATTGTATTTCCATTCGATTGACTCGACTTAAAAAGGCACCAATTCGAGTCACCACACGTGACAGTGCTCTCAAAAATCGACCTCATTGAGGCATACGGACCCCTGGGTGAGTTAATATTCTCCGCTCCCCCTCTCGTTCTGTTACAAGTTTTGAGTCAACTCAAGACTCGTTCATTTCGAGCTCAGAGAAAACATCGTGAGGCATACAAGCCACTGCATGAGTGGATCGCTTTCTCTCCCCGCCTGTTCTCACGCTGTGCCCAACATCCTTCAATGTATGTTGTTTTGCTGTAAGGATTGGCAGGAGCTCTCCTCCTTGCAGCAGAGCAGGTGTCTTTTGAGGCGCCTCAAAAGTCGTCTCGTGCAGCAGAGGAGGAGACTTCTGACTGAGTCTCCCGGCCTCCTCTCCTCGCCCCCTCTTTTCCCCTCCCACATTCTCCCCTCCCCACCCCTACACCCTCCCTCCACAGCCTTCAACCTAGATTTCTACACGGACGTGCAGGACCTCTCATACCTGCAGCAGCATCTGGAGAATGATCCACGCAACAAGCGATACGCGTGAGTGCACAACCCAATGCACGCTCCACTTTTTTGAGCTGACTCAAAAAGACGCATGAGTGTTTACTCCAATGCACGCCTCAATGCACGCTCCACTTGGCCTGTGCCCTAGAGTCAGTCGATAAAGTGTGACCGCGATTCCTTTGTTTCGGCTTCTTTACCTTTCCGTGATACTTCGGGGATCATACCCGCTCAGCGTTCAGCTTGTTTTGGCTTCTTTGCCTTTCCGTGATCCCTCCCCTTTTCTCCATGCCCCCGCATCCCTTCTCTCTCCGTGTTCACACGCCAGCAAGTTGACATCAGCAGTGTGCGAAGTGGTGGATGATTTTGGCCTTGTCTCATTCGAGACGCTCAACATTCAGGTGGGTGGGACAACCAAGGCCCTGCTCCCATCTCTCATTCCATTCAACCACTTGCCCCACACACCCCTCCTGGCGACATTACACTGTTTTCTGCTGCTGTTGACCCTCCCCACTCACTTTTACACGTCTCACCCTCCAACCTACTGCCCTCCCTTCCATTCACGCTCTCTCATACCACCCTACAATCGACCACCCTTCCGCTATCCACCCCTCTTCCATTTCTCCCACCCGCACTTTGCCCACCGTGCCTCCCTACCCCACTGCCAGGACAAGGAGAGTGTATCGAATCTGATCCGCACAATCGACAGGGCGAACGGCTATGTGTTTGCGGGGATAGAGGCGAGCGCTGCTGAATACTCCAAGATTGCCACCCGCTCCATGCAGTGGGAGGAGGAAAGATATCCCCCTCACACACACTGTCTCACTCTTACCCCTCACACTGAGTTTTGTGTTTCCCTCTTCACACACCCACACACGCTCTTTCTTCTCGTACTCACTCACTCTCTCCCGTCTTCCCGTGCGCATGTTCTTTGCTATACATGCTCTTGCTCAATCTTTCTTCCCATTCACAATCTTCTCGCCACTTGCACCCGTTCTTTGTGAACCATGTTGCCCATTTTTACTTTTGTTCATTCCAGTCTACTCTTGCACCTTCGACTCGCTTTTCCTCCAACTGTCCCCTTCCTTGCCATCCTCATCTGCTTTCCCGAAGTTGTCGCTTCCACTGGTTATTCAAGTTGTTTCTGCCATGTCAACCCACGCTTCACCCCTCTCTCCATTCCCTTCCTTCTCCCTTTAAAACTCTTGTAACTTGCATTTCAAGTTTCCTTAACCTGCACCCCCTTTTAAACAATCCTCCGGGCGACATGTCTGATGGCGGCCTTGTTGCGACGGGGGAATGACACTCGTGCTTATTTTGCTATTGATGACCTTTCCACAATAGGGGACGTCCAGGAGAAATACTTTAGGGATGATGAGTCTGGACGAGAAGAGGGGTAACAATGGGAGATGATTTGACGATGAAAAGGGTTGCATAATCAATCTCAAAGCCTGATTTGTTCTAAGGATGAACTGAACAGAACAACAGCTTCTAAATTTTTGTCGTGGCAAACCAGTCATTGTACCTAATAGCGAGGTCACGAGTCCATTAGATCAACCCGAGCTAGAACCTAGAGCATTTACCCCAACAGCACGGGTTTTCCGGAGTTCGCTTTTATGCGAAGAGAGAATACAACTCCCCAAGCATGACTGATCAATGACAGCATCGTGATTGGGTTTGATGGCGACTCGTATGACGACACATGATATGAGTATGGCGACCCGTACGGCGACTCGACTGGCCGATAGCACCTCGATGAGTGGTAGTCGTTTCGCCGTAGATGCCTTCAAGGCTCAGCAAGAGCAGCGATTGGACGAGGGGGAGGAAGCCGTTCGGCTCCTCTCGAGATTGGAACGGAGTCTAGACGCGGCTGCTGACGTGGCAGCCGTTGAAACAGCTGTCGCCGCTTTGCTGACACGAGACGTACGCGCTGGAGCGTCGGCTGTAGCATCGGTTGTAGCGGATCATGCGAGCAGCGCAATAGACGGAATCGCAGATGAAGCGTTCTCCACGGGCGTGAGAGACGCCGCTGCCGCTGTGACAGAATCGAAGGCACCTATACTGTCACCTCTGCGCGTGCTGCTATCAGACCACCTCGTGGCGCTCTCGCAGCTGTTTCTGTTCCGTCCGTACGACAGTCCCCTCCCTTTCCTCTTTTCCCTGCTATCCTTTTCAAGTCTCCTCAGCTTCTCTCTCCTTTTCTCCGTCGCTTTCCTTATGAATCGCCAAAAAAAAAAAAAAAAAAAACAAACAAACAAACAAACAAACAAACAAACAAACAAACAAACAAACAAACAAACAAACAAACAAACAAACAAACAAATTGCGTCCTCTCCTCCTCCTTTCCTCTCCGTCTCATTGCTTCCGAATCAACCTTCTATTATCCCCCTTCCCCCCCCACCTCCCCGCCCTCCTCTTCCTCATCCCTCCGCTTCACCTCCCCTTCCCCTTCCCCTTCCCCTTCCCCCCTCCGTCCCTCTCCCCTTTCCCCCTCTCTTACCCCTTCCCGTCCCCCTCCCCCCTCCAGGAGCAGCGCCAGTGCTTCCCCCTTCCGCCCGCCGCGCCCTGTTTGACCCGCTCTTCCTCTCCTCCCCCCTCCCTTCCGCGCTAGACGCCCTCCTCCCCCTCCTCTCCGCCTCCCCCTCCGCCTCTTCTTCCGCCTACACTGCTTCCGCGGACGAGGAACTGCTTGGGGGGGAAGATGGGGGGAGAGGGATGGGGGGAAATGGTGCAGAGAGAAGTGAGGGAAAGGGTGTTGGCAATGGTGGTGGTGGCGCTGCTGCTGGTGGTGAGGGTATGGGGGGAGGGGTGTGTGAGAGGGTGGCGCAGGGAAAGAGGAGCAGCATTGCGCGCAAGGAGGCCGAGAGGTACGAGTGTCCTTGGACCAGACAGGCAGGCAGGCACTGGGCCGCTTAGAAATGATTCTTCTTCAGTCCAATCTTATGCGATCCAATCCCATTCAAGTCAATTCAATGTAACCCGATCAAGCCTCCCACCCTCCCTCTTCCCCTCTCGCGCCCGCCCATGCGTCCACGCTTTTCCTCCTCAAGCATGTTCTTTTGAAATCATAAAAGATGGTCCCTTCCTTCCCTCCCTCCTTCCCTCCCTCCCTCCCTCCCGCCCTCCCTACCTCACGTGCGCGCCCACCCATGCACGCAGGCTGCTACTCCTCGCCATCTTTGGCTCGCTAGACGGGCCCCCTGCCCAAGCCGTCATTTTTGAGACGTCTAAAAAAACAGACCAAGCCGTCAGGCCAGGCGGGTTAGAGGGCACGCCTGCAGCTTCTACTCCTCCTGACACGTGTCCAAACGTTACTGGACCAGGGAGCATGCAGTCAGGGGGCTTGCACAGATTCTTGGTCCACCTGGAATCGGATGGGTGCACGTGCACGTCAGCAGCGCCAGCCACGTCAGCAGCGTCTGCCACGTCAGCAGCAGGGTGGAGAGGAGAGTACAGCGTGGAAAGAGTGGTGTCCCACCTGGCGTCGGTGACGGATAGGGCGTCGGCACATGCTCCCCCTGCCCTACATGCTCCGTGAGTCTGCCCCCCCTACCCCCCCACTTCTCTCTAGCATCGGTGTCCCAGCTGGCATCGGTGACGGATAGGGCGACGCCACACGCTCCTCCTGCCCTACATGCTCCGTGAGTCTGCTCCCGTTCCTACGCACTTGCTCCCTTGCTCACGTCCCCACTACCCACACACTTCTCTCTAGCATCGGTCTCCCAACCCAGCTGGCATCTGTGACCGATAGGGCATCGCCACATGCTCCCCCCTCCCTGCATGCTCCGTGATTGTGCTCCCGCTCCTGCTTCCCACTTCCTTGTTTGCCCACTACCCACTTACGCTTTCCTGTTTGAAAATCTCAAAACTAGGGCGCCGCCGCATGCTCGTCCTGCTCTGTGTGTGTGCTCCGTGAGTCTGCTCTTCCCCCAACCTACTTCCCATACGTGTGCTTCCCTACCTGCGCTTCCCTACCTGCGCACCCAAACCACCTCTCCCTCTCGTTCTGAGACTTCTCAGAACTTAGGCCGTTGCCTTGCCACCACTCAACTGTTCTGTACGCTTTAGAACTCATTCCAGTCCATCCCAATGCCTCACCCCACCCCCCATCCCACTCCCCCTGCCCATCCAGTCACTTCATCTCGTCTCTCATCCGCCAAGCTCTCACCACCACGGCCACCATCGCTGCCTCTCGCTCCTCCTCACCACGTCCCTCCTCGCCTCCCTCTCATTCAACTAGTGTCTTCCCTACCACTAGCATCAGCAACATCACCAAGATCAGCAGCAGTGGGAGTGGCAGCAGCGTGTGTCCAGAAGCGTTTGTGGGGCAGCTGGTGGCCAGGCTGTGCCGCAGAGGGCATGCGGGTGAGTGGCACAGGGAACATGTTACACGTGGGCACGATGAGGGGTGGTGTGATGAGGTGAGGTATGGTGTGGTCTGGTGGTTGTGCCCATGTGAGTAAAGAAGGGTTTTTATCCTCACACTAAATTGCCCGAATCAGTCCGTTTCGACACCCCTTGCAAGTTCTCTCCCGCCCTCCTCTCCTCAACCCTTTTCTCCCCGCTCCTCTTCCTCCTCGCTATTCATTTCCCTTCTCCCCCTCTGCTTGCTTTATTGCACCCCTCCCCCAGCAACCGTGGCCTCCGAGATCGTCCACACAATCATGTTGACTCATGAGTCAACTCAAAAGTCTCCCTCCTCTCTCTTTGCCTTGCTCATGTTGTCCCGCCTTGCCTTGCCTTGCCCCCCTCCCCAAGCAACGGTGGCATTCGAGCTCGTCCACACAATCATCCGACAGCTGGCACACACCACGTCAGCGCCAACACACACCAGCAGCAGCACCAGCAGCACCACCTGTACCAACAGCACCAGCAACAAACCCACTACCACCTGCCACAGCAGCTCGTCCTTCCCGCATCTCCCCGCCCTCTACTCCACCATCATCGCCTCTCTTGCTGCTGCTGACGCCTTCTCCCTCCACCAGCTCACAGAGAGCCTTCTCTCCCACCTCGCTGCCCTCTCTGCTGCTCTCCCCACCACTGCTCCCACCGCCAGCAGCAGCAGCAGCAGCACCACCACCACCAATTCTACCACCACCGTCACCAGTAGCGGCTGCAGAAGCACCAGAACTGGCAGCAGCAGCGCGAGAACTGGCAGCAGCAGTGTGCCAGAGACTGTGTTGCGGCTGCTGTTTCAGGGGTTGCTGGCTGAGCGACACCCTCAAGCAGTGTGAGTTGATGGTCGGGACACCACACACAGATTTCAACCTCTGCATTGCTGTTTTTTCTGGTTCGCTGTTTTGCTGTGTTTTGTAGCAGCTGAACGGAACTGAATCGCACGCTCAGTCTCCTTTGTGCTGCTGCATGCTTTTGAGGTGCCCCAAACCCAGGCGTCTAGCCTCTCGTTTCAGAACCAGTTTCGCAACTACTCATCCCCCATCCACTCCCCCCCCCCCTCCTCCTCCCCTCAACCAATCATTGCAGATACCTCTTCACTTCTCACCTCCTCACTCGCTCCCTCCTTCCCTTCTCTTGCCTGCCATGGATTGTTGCCCTCCTTTCCTCCTCATCCTCCTCCGCTTCCTCCTCTGGACCCTCTACTGACGATTTTCCTGCACTCGAGCCAATGGGGCTGTGCCACGTGGCACTAGAGCATGTGCTGCGCATGTGGAGCTCACCGGCTCTCGTCCAATCAGCATCCATGGAGAAACAGATCTGTGAGTCGTTGCAATAAGAGAGGATCTGATTAGCTCTGCTAGCAAACAATCTGCACATCTCTTGTTGGGGGAGAGAGCGACTTGCAAGTTAATAATGAGGGGAAAGGCTGGGAGAAGATGAAAACGTTGTCATCTGCCATTCCCTTCTCCCCTGGGTTGTGCTCCCTGCACCTTTCCGTGTGCGTCCTCCTGGCAGATGTGACAGCAGCAGCCGGATTCCTCCTCTCCCTCCCCCGCCGCCACCACCATGAAGCACTGTCTTCATCCGCCCATCATTCCCATGCGCCCATTCGCCTGCACCCATCGCTGCTCACAATGCTTCTCAAGGGAGTGTCCAGTGAGTCCTTGTAGAGGCCACCTCTAATCATATGAGTTCTCGTATTGTGGGAGTAGTGTCGAATGTTTCCAGTAACGCCTCGTGGCCGCTCCCATCCGGTATCACTCCCATGTGCCCATTCGCCTGCACCCATCGCTGCTCACAATGCTTCTCAAGGGCGTCTCAAGTAAGTTCCACTAAAGCATCACCGCCCTCCTCATCCGCCCGTCACTCACATGTGCCCATTCGCCTGCACCCATCGCCGCTCACAATGCTTCTCAAGGGCGTCTCAAGAAAGTTTCCGCTAAAGGGTGTATCCAGTAAGTGCACCTAAGGCCGTATCCAGTGAGTGCTCGTGTTGTGGGAGTAATGTCAAAATGCCTTCAGTGAGAGTAAAGACTGTACCTCTCCCGCATCACTCCCATCCCGCACCCATTCGCCTGCGCCCATCGCTGCTCGCAGTGCTCCTAAAGCCTTGCCTTTGCCCCCTCTGTGGCTGTACACCCTTATATCCCCCTTTGCCCCTTCCCACCCCCCCCCTTGCGACTTGTTCCCGCTTCTGACATGCAGTGCGGCTGGAAAGTCCCCTCCCGCTGGTGCGCCTGATGGGGCAGCGCCTTGCTTTTGCCTTCTCTGTGGCCGTGCACCCTGACCGCCCCCCCATGCTATTCGGGGAGTTTGCATATGAGCGAGGGATAGGTGCTGGGGGGGAGGAAGGGAAGAGCGGAGGAAGAGGAGGGAGTGGGGGGAGTAAGGGGAGTGGGGGGAGTAAGGGGAGTGGGGGGAGTAAGGGGAGTGGGGGGAGTAAGGGGAGTGGGGGGAGTGCAGGTGCTGTTGAGTTGACTCACGAGGCGGCTATTGCTGCTGCCCTTGATTTTGCACGTGGTTGGGACATTGGGGGGGTGACGGGGCAGGCGTGTAGGGAGGAGGGAGGGGTAGGGGTGAAGGGGACAGGTAGGGATGGTGGGGGAGACGAGAATGGTGAAGTGGAGGAGGGAGGAGGAGAAGAGCGGGATGTGGTCGAAGAGGATTGTGAGGAGGATGAGAGTGAAGATGGTGAGAGTGAGGGAGGGAGCGAGGGGGAGATTGTGGAAGAGTGGAGCGAAGAGGACTGGGATGAGGAGGAAGAGGAGAGCGAGGAGGAGTCAGATGAGGAAGAGGAGGAGGATGAAGGGGGCCTGGGCATGGGCATGGGCATGGGCGTGCGTGTGGGGGTGAGTGTGGGCATGAGTGGACAAGCGTGTGGAATGCCGGCTCCCATGCAGCTGCGCTACTGTGCAGCAGACCTAAGGAAAGCAGATGATGTCAATGCGGTGAGTGTCGATGCATTCGGCTACTTCCATTTGAGAAACGTTTCTGCTCCCACTCTTGCTCCCGCCCGGTCTTTCCCTCTCTGTTCGTGGCCGCCTTACATGTTGCAGTGTGTTTCCCGCTTTACTTCATTTTTTTTACACAAAACAAGCTCACACACTTTTGTCTTGTTGTGCTTTTACCTTCGTTATCAGATGGAGCGAGCGCTTCTGTCCCTTGAGCCAATGATTCGCTGCCAGCCGGACGAGCTGGATGACGTGGCAGCTGAGCTAGCGCGCTCCCTTATCCACATGCAGTGCCAGTTCCTATTGGTAGGGGAAGAAGGAGAGGGGGAGGCAGGGGAGGAGGGAGAGGAGGAGAGCGGGAGCGGTAGTGAGGAGGGGGGAGGAGGGGCGGTAGAGGAGTGTGAGGTAGAGGAGTGGAGTTCTTTCAGTAATATGGATAAGTACGGCAGAGAGAGAAATGGAGGCAAGCTAAGGGAGGGAGGCAGCATGCAAGGCGGAGAAGGAAGGGGAGGAGGGCAGGGGCCGGGGGGAGCAGAGGAGAGGAGGAGGGCAGCGCTGGTGGCTCTGGTTGTCTTTTCCCCCGTGGCATCGCTGGAGGTGCTTCTGGGGGAGGTGTTTTCTGCCCACGTGGACCTCAGTCAACGCCTGCTCATCCTGGACGTTCTAGAAGCAGCTGCTATTGAACTCGCCTCTTATTCCTCCTCCACCTCTTCCTCCTCTCACGCCTCCTCCTCTCACGCCTCTTCCTCTGCTTCTTCATCTGTCACCACCACGCTCGCTCCGCCCCTCTCTGCCTCCTCCCTTTCTGCCTCTCGCACGCATACTCCCCTGATAGTTGAGATTCACACCGGTCCTACCCCTTGGGATCATCCGGCACATTCCCTCTCACCCTCCCCTCCCGGTGCTGGTAAATGGGTTCAGCTGCCCGGGATTCTGCCCGGAGATCTCGGGCAGCCCGAGCTGGCCAAGGCGATGTTAGCGCCAGCAGGAGGAGGTGGAGGGTTTGGCCTGACTGGGCTCACGGGCAGCTGGACGAAAAGTTTTGCGAGAGACCTGCCCCGGCGCCCTGGCGACCGCATTCTCGGGCAGGAGAAACGAACCTCCAAAGCAATTGAATTCGCAAGAGAGAAGCTTCAAGGAAGCAGCGGTCAGAACCAGCAGGAGCACAGTCAGCGCGATTCGTCCACGTGTACAGCGCCACGCGTGCAATTCGCTGACGTGGCAGCGGGGTTCATGCTGCCGCTGATGCGAGCGTACGACAGGCAGAGCCACGGAGTGGACTGGGTGGGGCGGGACTTTGTCGTTCTCGCCCGCGTTCTGCTGCTTCTAGGGAAATGCCTGCGCCTCCTCTCCCCCTCGCCAGCTGTCCTGCCCCTCGCCGCTGCTTTACTGGAATTCCTCAACGCCAGGTGAGAGTCTTCTTGGTTGGTTGGTGGAGCTGGTTAGTGTATTGTTGTAATGAGTCTGGGTGTGATGCGAGCGTACGACAGGCAGAGCCACGGGGTGGACTGGGTGGGGCGGGACTTTGTGGTTCTCGCTCGCGTGCTGCTGCGTCTAGGGAAATGCCTGCGCCTCCTCTCCCCCGTCACCAGCTCTCCTGCCTCTAGCAGCAGCTCTGCTGGAATTCCTCAACGCCAGGTGAGAGTGCTTGTACGGTTGGGCTTGCTTGGTGTGTAGCCTGGTCAGAGTGGGTGGACTGGGTGGGGCGAGACTTTGTCGTTCTCGCCTGCGTGCTGCTGCTTCTAGGGAAGTGCCTGCGCCTGCTCAGCCCGTCACCAGCTCTTCTCCCCCTTGCCGCTGCCCTTCTAGGATTCATCAACGCCAGGTGGGAGTCTTTTCGGCTGGTTGGTGCACGTGGTCAGTGCAATGTTGGGGTGAGTCTTTGTCCGTTGGCGGGGTGATGCGAGCGTACGACAGGCAGAGTTATGGGGTGGACTGGGTGGGGCGAGAGTTTGTCGTTCTCGCCCGCGTGCTGCTGCTTCTGGGGAAGTGCCTGCGCCTTCTAGCCCCGTCGCCAACTCTCCTGGAATTTGTCAACGCCAGGTGAGTCTTCAAAGCCCAGACCACTTGGTTTCACATAACCTTCGAATGCCCCGCGGTGTTCAGACATAATTCTCAGAGAGCAACACTTGGGTTGACATGGGGAGTACCGCTTTTGTTCTTTTGCTTCAGCCTAGACTACACAACTGTTGCTCTCTGAGAATTATGACTGAACAATGTCTGGACAGTCTTCAATGCCCAGTCCGCGTGGTTCAATAAGGTCTCTCATACCCTTCAAATGCCCCTTTTCTTCGCCCCTCTTTGCCTACTTCCCCAAACCTCCTCCCAAAGCCATCTTCTCCAACCAGAATAAACTTCCCTTTTCTTCGCCCCTCTTTGCCTACTTCCCCACCTTATTCTTCCCAAACCTCTTCTCTCCCCCACCACCCGCAGCCCCATCGCCCAGCATCCAGAGCCATATGTGCAGCGCTGTGCCATCTTCACTGCAGCCTCAAGTAAAGCTTTCATTATACCCCCCTCCATCCCTCCTCCCCCACGCCCTGCCATATCCCTCTCCCTATCCCTTACCCCACTCCCCACCACCCCTTCCAGTCCCATCGCCCAGCATCCAGAGCCATACGTGCAGCGCTGCGCCATCTTCGCTTCAGCCTCGCTGCTCCTCTCGCTGCCCGCTGCTGCCGTTGCAGCCGAAGGGCTCCTACTCTCCTCTGCTGCCTCTGCTACCGGAGGCACCACAGCTATTGGTTCTGAGGGTGGTGGTGGGGGTGCAGGCGTGGGGCTGTCTGGGATGCTGCGGGTGATGGCTGTGTGGTTGGGGAGGCTTGCAGAGGAGAGCGGGGACGAGCAGACCAAAGCGGTGAGTGCTGAAATGAAAGTGGTGCTGCAGGTGGTGCCGGTGGTGCTGGGGGTGCAGGGGTGGGGCTGTCATGGATACCGTGGGTGATGGCTGCATGGTTGGGGAGGTTTGCAGAGGAGAGCGGGGACAAGTTGACCAAAGGGGTGAGTGCTGAGACAATTGTGCTTTCGCCTATTTGCCTGTTGCTCCTGCACCCCGGTTTCACCTCTCCATTCCATTCCATTCTCTTTCTTTCTCTTTCTTTCTTTGTTTCTTTCCTTCCTTCTTTCCTTCCTTCCTTCCTTCCGTCCGTCCTTCTCTTTCTCTCTTCCCTCTCCCATCCTGCCCAGATGGCCTTTGGGTGCATCCAGATGAACGACGACTTATCCAGGGCGCGCCTTTTTCCAGTCAACTCGGAATTCACCAGCTTCCCTCCTCTCCCTTGCTCTCCCTCCCCACCCTGCCTCGCACCTGCCCATCCAGAGGGCCTTTGGGTGCCTCCAGCTATACGACAACTTTGCCAGGGCGTGCCTGCAAGCAGTGCTTGGCACTACCCCCACTTGAAAGTGCCGTGAGAGTGACCACGGGACTGATAGCAAGTGGATACCGAATGCACCCGGGTGGTTGTGTTGAGCTGTTCCTCTGCAGCCCAGTAGGGTTTGTATTGTTACAAATGTTTGACAACACACGAGTTTTTTTGGCAGGGTTGAAAGGAGAGCACAAGCAGAGGCCATGGTGATGTTCATTCAAATGCTACACTTAAATCACAGCCATGATTCAGTACAAAATTCTGGAAAGGCCAATTCAGTGGAGCAGGCATATGTATGCCTTGGATTGGAGTCGCTCCAAGAATGCTTTGGAGGAGGCCTGTCCATCATCCACCGGTCGTAGATGTTACCAGAGTGGGTGCTGTCAACATCGTCCCACCGAAGTTTCAACCTGAATCTGGGAAGATGATTAGGGTAGCACATATTTTGGAAGTGGTGTATGAAGTGTTGTTGACAAAAAGCAAGTGTGTGTGGTAGCTGAAGCAATGTGGTTGGTTTGTTCTGAAAGAATGCAGGATGGAAATGCCAACATCAATTGTGCGAGCATGTGCGAGCGAGAAGAGGTGGATATACCATGAGCGTGCTTGCAGAACAGAACGGTTCCCTTGCCACTTGAGCTCCACAATACGGCCAGCATTTTACGAGTGCCTGTAGCCACACTAGCATAGAACAGTTCTTATTAACTGAAAACGAGGCTCCCGTCCCAGCAATCCGAGCATAACCTGCCTCGCCTTCAGAGGAATCAGCTGCAGAAGTGCTCACAACACTCCCGTTACCAGGAAAGGCCAGTCATACGAGTCGTCGCGATAAAAAATGCTGCTGCTAGCACTGGTTGCAGCACTACTGCTCCTCTCAAGCACTACGTTCTCCTGCGTTGCACTGTCTCTTGCACTCCAGCACCCATCGCATGATTTTTCTGCAGGCCCATTGTTCTTCTTGTTCAGTGTGCTGATGCCCTGCTACACGCCTGGAAACGGTTGCCTGTCCGCACACCTGATCGTGTGTCCCGTGTTCTTGCTGCATACCACTGGCTCCTGCCCCTGTACATGCCACAGCGGCTCATTTCCGCTGCCAGAACTCCTCAAGCTGCGTCGAGATTTGGGAAAAGAAGGGGGTGGGGACGGGAGAGCGAGATGGGGCATGAAAGGGAAGGCGGAATGCCGGAAGCCTGTGACAGACAAGCCATGTTAATATGTAAGAAGATAAAAAAGTTACCGAACAAGCCTAAAAGCAGAAACATCATAATTTACTTGCTTAACGTACGCTACACTAAAGCCATGCGAACCCGGCCACATACCTTACGCCTTCCGCCTGCGCAAACGTGTTATTCTTTCTCCCCGACAGTTTAGGCGATGGCTCGCCTGACGCGAACATGTCGCACGAAGAAAAAATATGGTAACTTGCCTCGCCACTATGAGATTTGTTTCAGGGCAAAAAGCAGCTGAGAAATCGCAGACGACACTACAAATTAGAGACTGACGCGGCGAAGTAATAATAGTGGGTACGATCTAAACAGCAAACACAAAAAAGGACGAAATAAAGCATAGCAATAAGATTCTCAGCCTTCGCGTCGCCATAGTTCACGAGCGGTATGAACAGGAAGATTGGAGAGTCTGTTATTCGTCAACGGATTCAGCTCGCCGGGTGGTCGCGAAGTAATCGCGACGGTATTTTGATTAGCGTAGTATAAGTAGTGATGATCCTAAAGCTGAAACTAAGGGCGTGTCCAGCGCGTACGTTTTCAGTTCATTTTGTGCGGTTGACAGCTATTATTCACGGTGAAAAGAGGTGGAATTCCAAAATCGTTTTGCACCTTCAGATATCGTTTTGAACCACGGTAGATGAACTGTATTTGAACCGAAAACGTACGCGCTGGACACGCCCTAACTTTTGCGACTAACATGGACGCTGCGACAAGCGTACGATGCGGAAGGAATCTGTCACAGGTCGCTGCTGTAGTATAACTTATTATTCCGTATCTATGGTGTATGTGTGCGGTGTGGTTTTATGGCTGCCTGAACTCTGCCAGGGTTGGTTTTCTGCACAGCATGAGCAAAGGTTTGTTTTCGTCTTATTTCCTTGCGTATAGTCACCTATAGTTGGCAGTAATTTGGGTACTTTACAAAGAAAAGCATCGCACAAGAGGAGAGGAACGGGAAAGAAAGACACCAGAAACAACTCAAACGCAACACCCATAAAAAGCCCCATAAAAATACTCTATAAAGAAAAAACCCAACCAGGATCCCCTACCAGACGTCCCATCTCGCACCCCATTCCCCCTCGCCCCCCCCCCCCCCCCCCCCCCCCCCCCCCCCCCCCCTCCCCCCCAAGTCACATCTGCACATCCACCATGTAGGGGGCCTCCACCCAAAGAGGCCCGCCCTCCACCTCGACATCGTCCCTCTCCCGATCCACCAAGTCCACATTCAACCCCCCCATGGAAGACGCCGCCCGAAGCAGGATGACACGAGCTTGCGCCCGTTGTAACGCCACTCCGATGAGCGCCTTCAGAGACCCCAAAAGGTAAGCCGAGAACGAAGTGTCATCCTCCCGACAAGCCCCCCGTGACACAGCTAGCCCCACGTGCGCGTCCCCCTGCTGTCGAAGCCACCGCCGGAAGCGACCGCCGAGACACCCCCACGTCTCCACTATCAAAGGGGTGAACTGCACGCCTCGGTTCCGTGCAAGAAGAGGCGCGTAATCCCCCGTTTTGCGACGCTCCCACTCCTTTGCCGCCACGCCTATAGACCGCCCGCACTGCCCTAGCAGAGATGGAGACAGTGATAGCGGGTCCGCGACACTAATCTCTAAAGCATGAGCCTCCCCAGCCATTGGTCGTCGCACCGCTACGTCAACCCGCTTCCCCGGCAGCACCGCACTATCCTCCATCGTCACCACCCCCCCTGACGCCTTAGCGATCTTTGCCACCGCAAACTTCACCTCATCATGCACCCGAGATGGACCGTGTTGGTGCTTGCATCTCAGCGCATGATGCGGGTCTGCTGGGTCATCATACGCTGCGCCACAAACACACTTCCCCGCCACTTGCAGCTGCTGGATTGGGAGACCAAGCCGTATAGCAGCAGCAATGCCCCACTCCGCTGCAGTGAATGTGAGATCTGAATGAGCCGGAACTGCCGAAACCCATGCACCAGCCCCCGGGCCCTGAAGGGATGTGAAACGGGCTAGGGTGGCATCGTCACGAGCCAAGCGGCGGAGTGCCTGGAGCTCCTCAACAGCCAACTGCCGCTGCCGCGCCTGGAAAAGCCGAAGAGGAGGGGCCGCCACACACAGGGGTAAGTCCGGCAGCTCCTGGCGTATAGTCGCGGGCAACTGCTCAATGGCCTTGGCAAACCACGGGTCAAGAAGCTCCGCCCCCGCCGAAGTGGTGAGGTACTCTGCGAACATCGCCTCCTCGCCCGCCACCCCCAAATGTGCAATATCCCGTGCGGCCTGCGCCCACCCACAAACATAGGAGAGCGGACTCAAAGAGGCCGCCGCCCGGATCCCAAACCCTCCGAGGCGCACAGGGAGATGCAGCTGCATGCGTGCGCGCCTAGACCTGCCGGGATCCTGCTCCCAAGTGCCAGGGGGGAAAAGCTGCTCAAAGCAATCCTCCAGACAGCTGTCCCACTCTCTAAAGGCCTCCACCACCTCCGGCCGCGGCGGCATAGTCCGGGCCAGGTACATCGGCCGTGCTGAAACTGCAATAGCGAGGAGATGCGAGGCCATCTGGGGGTGGTCGAGCAGGGGGAGCCACGGCAATGGCGCCTGCAACTCGCGAAGCCGCTTCCGTAATCGGGCCCCCTCCCAATCCTCCTCCCCAATAGGCACGCCCACCACAATAAGACCCTCCTCCTCCCGCTGCATCCCCAAAGGCAATGCCCGCTCCATATCCCCACCTCCACGCTCCCAAAACCTGCACTTGTGCGCCTGCACTTCCAGCCCCACCCACTCCAACCTCTCTCGCAGCACCCCAAAAGCCTCCAGAATCCTAGCCGCTGGTCCCAGGATGTAGGTATCGTCTGCATAGCTCAAGAAAAGTAGGTCCCTGAACTCTCTAGTCACCGTCCCCAGCACCTGCTGCTGCGTGAAAGCGAAAAGAAAAGGGCCGAGCGGGTCCCCCTGTCGCGATCCTCGTGCCGACTCAAGACTCTGTACGAAAGGGCCCGCTCGGAGGTACAGGTCGCTAGGTGTCCCATAGAAGACACGCAAGAATGGGATCATTCCTGAGAAAGGCGACTCCTTCAGCCCCTCGAACATCGCGTGGCGATGAAACGAATTGAAGGCGTTCGCGACATCTATCTGCAGCGCACACCAGTCGGGGTGAGTGGCCAGCGCTGACCGGAAAGAATGAGTAAGAATCTCCACCCCGGCCCTGGTGCCCACTCCCAGCTGGTTACACGGCAGAAAATAAGAAGCCATCACAGGGCGAAGCGAGATGCAGAGAGCTCGAGCGAGGATACGCGGAAGCACCTCCCCGATCGCCACCGGCCGGACGTCACCGTTGGGTTTGGAAAGCCCGACTAGGTTGGATGCGGCGAGCCAGGGCCGAGCTCGCTCGGGGACCTGTCCCGCCACCCATTGGTTGAACACTTCCAGCAGGTGGGAGAGGCAGGAAGGTTCCGTGAGGAAAGTGTCGCGCAGATGCTCTGTGACCCATCCCGATGGCCCTGCAGCTGAGGCGCGAGCAGCTGTGTGGATAGCTCTAGCCAGAATGTCGGTCGTGAGTGGAGGCCGCTGAGGAGCGTCGACAGTAAACTCACGAACCCACGGTGGTACCTCGCCACTGCTAGCTGGGTGCTTCCCTCGCAGCGACTGCACCATAGCCTCAGACGGTCGAGCCAACTCTCCTGCTGTGAGGCAAGACAAACCACGGCTCCACTCTCCCACTTTACACCGAGATCGGCACCGTGACAGGCGGATGGCCTCCGGGTCCTGGTCAGAGCACGTGTAGGCAAGTGGGCGAACTGCTGGCCGTGCCGCCGCCATGGCAGCGTCGAACAACTCCCGCCA